CACTTTATTGACACAAGCATTGATTGACGGGTTAATCTATATCGGCTAAGAGAATCAGAGGTTTGTAATTTTGGTGATTGAGAGATAATTAAATGGGACGTCCACACATTTCCCACGGGTGATTATCAGAAAACCACAGAAGAAAAATTATTGATTGGAAAAACTGAAAGTTTATCACAGCAGCCGGGGAAATGTGTTCTTAGCCTGCTCGTGGATCAATAACACCGCTCCCCTTGTTGACCACCGATGGATGTTTTCAAGGTGTTTTTGCTGCCAGATGAACAGCAGGGGGGGGGTTTCATACCAGGCCTGTGTGATGAAAGCTCATAGAGTTTCTAAAGGCTATCTTCAGCCTTCGTTTGCAGGCTGGTAGGGTTGATGAGCGATTGAACCTCGAGATCAGCGTCACGCTCAGAATCCTCCCCATCACGTCACGAGAACGCAGCAGTGACTGAAGTAAGAGGAGGGGAGGTGATTTTGAATCTGCCCCCTGTCAGTCCCAGGCCTGCCTGCTTGCCTCCACAGAGGAATCTGCTGCTGCACCGGAGCCGATGCGTCCACAGAGAGACCTTTAAACATCCTGATCAAATCCAAATCAAGCCCATGTTGCTCCTCAGCGACGTGTTTTTGGCTAAATGTGATGAATTCTTCCAGTTTAGATGCAATTCATACATGAAATAATTCCACTATGGAAAGTTTAGGTTGGGAATATGTTTCAAATGTGTCACAAAAATTATTTTTGGCTCTCTGGAGCTTGTTTGTTTCAGTTTTTTCGCCCATGGGACTGAGCCCGGTTGGCCCCTAAGAGGTGAGAAATGATGGGCTGCTGCTAGAGCAGATAGATGAAGCTGCTGGTATGTGTTCTCAGCCCTCTTACATAAACAGATAAGTCCTGTGATTTACCAAAGAGGAAGGAGAGAGGAGGGGGTGTCCAGCTGGGACAGCAGTGGTTTGAATGATAGAGAGGTCTGACGTGGTTCCTGTGATGAACGAAATGGTGGGAAAGGCAGGAAAAAGGGGAAGGGGGGGTGGTACGGATCGGCTTGGCATGCAAATCACAAGATCACTGAGAGAAGAGGGAACATGTCCCAGTTGGGACACGCTCTAATGTCCCAGTTGGGACACGCTCTAATGTCCCAGTTGGGACACGCTCTAATGTCCCAGTTGGGACACGCTCTAATGTCCCAGTTGGGGTTTCCACTTTCTTTCTGTTCTATCTTTCAAAATGATATTTCACAATCATCATCAGTTTCTCTTCCACTCGACACCAGGAGGGCGGAGCAGTGTAAATATTCTTTATTGAGGTGTTTTGTTGACCAAGCGCAGCAGTCGCAGTCGATTATTAGTAGAAAGACGGCGTTATCTGTAACGTGTGTTTGCTAGCCGGGCTCCATATGTTGCGTTATCATCCAGGCTTTGAACAGCTCATGAAGTCGGATCCGATCGAGCCGTTTCTTCTCGCGGTGCGATCGAGTGCGTCGCAGGTCGCTCTCTGCACGTCCTGAGCAGAGGTCAGCTTTTTAAATGGTCGCAATGATCTCGGTGAGATTTCTAAGCAGCTGCATTTTATCTGATCACGAGACAGAAGTCGGGCAGGTTCGTGACACTTTGCAAGAACACTGCAACTGCAGGGTTAGGGTTACATGACCTAGTGCCCTACAGGACGCACGACTTCTGTGAGTACCGCCCACTGCTGGCTGTCACACGTCAGTGTCAGCTAATGTGCGCTAATTAGACAAGGAAAGCCAAATGTTTCAGTCCTTTGGATCTTATTGCTTTGTCAGTTATGATTCTTTAAAGTCTAAGATCTAAATAGCAAACGACTTAAAT